CTATAACTAATAATTTCCACCGCCCCTTCGATCATCATCCCCTGTGCATCTGCATCCCCGAATCGAGCAGCTAATTGCTCCACCTGCACAATTTAATTGTCGACCGAACATGGCATCTATCATTTGCAGATGATGATCAAAGTCCCCTCGATTAATATATCAAGAAGATCGGTGAGCAGCGGAACACGCGGAGAAACGAAAACAACAGAAAGCGCTGTCACAATAAATTTAAATAAATTGTTGACAAACGCCAATAAACATAAATTTTTGGTGTGCAGCAAAGCAAAGCAAGCCACCAAAGAGAGGGCACAACAAAAAAAAATATAAAAACAACAAGTCTGAGAGGGCCGGAAACCGCACTGTCAATCAAAAAAACAGTGGAAATGCTGAGCGGAAAGGAAAAACCGGACTTGGTTGCATAACTTGTCAGAGGGTGGTGGGTTATGCAGAGAAACTATCATTACAAGAGGCCTCAAATTTTAGATATTAAAGGAATATTGAATATGGAAATATAAACAAATGAAGGTATCGAATTCGAAATTATTTCCTATCCTAACAAACCATCTTAAGGTTTTAGAAAAGATAGATCTCAGTAAAAACGTATTTAATAAATATTATTAGAGGTCTTGAGATCTTTGAAATTATTTTATTTTAATCGCACAAAATGTTAAGAATATTTGTAGAGTTAGTAAAGAGATGCTATTTCAATTGACAATTTAAGATTGCAAGGAAGAGACCCCCATTATTCATTAGTTAATTTAATTATTGCCTCTTTTATACAATTTCTGTGACAAGCAAACATATGTTATTTCTCAATGTGTACAGATGGATCACACGTGTGACTCGACGGCGATAATTAGACTAGCTGCTGCCTTCGGTTTTATTTATGCAAATCGGGATACGTAATAACTCAATTAGATGTTGCAACTCGTAGCCCTGCTTGAGGGCCACCAGGAGGCGACTCTCTGATTGCCCGAATGCGGGCAAGTGGCACATTGACCGGACTTTCCACCCGCCACTCTGTGGACTCCTCTGATGGCTATTGAGTGGCGGGTTGTGTACGGGTTTTTAGCTTTATTGATGTCCCGTTGCTTTGTGGCGGACAATTGTCGTCATCGACAGCGACCTCGTCATTTAATTGTAAGTGAAACTACGCTTTGTTGTCGCATATATATGTATATGTTATACTATAGTGTGGTGTGTGTACTCCATGTGTTGCCAGTGTGTGCTGTGTGCAGTGTAGTATTCCCCTATTGAGCGGGGTCAACAAACCAGAGATACGACCACCACTCGACGTCGTCATACTCCGCCAATCCAAGTACTGGTGTCTCTCTGGAGAGCACAGTACATATGTATGCCTGCGTTTCATCGGAATCCCAGGCTGTTGACAAAATAAAGCACACTTTAATTGATACATTTGCATTTTATTATATATTCAGCACTGGCCACTGCGCCGGCAAATGAATATTTATGCAGCTTTTATGGGTCAGTGCAGCGCCATTGCAGCTGATAAATATTTGCCAGCATCTGGCAATCGATGACAGGCAGCACGAGCGGCGGATATCGATTACATGCGAACAGGTGCCGGTTAAGAAATTAATTATTCAATGAATCTCTAAAGTGCAATCTTACAGTGAAAAAAGATTCAAGATAAATGGATAAATGGAGATTTTCTGGCAGATAACATGTTAATTATGCTTTGATCTTGCTTTAATTTCCCTAAGACTCTAATAGATTTAATTGCTTAGACCTTGTTTTGAATATGGTTTTTGTACTTAATCAACCCCATGGCGAAACACCCATAATTTTCGGGGTTAACACTCATATATCTGTCCAGATATCTGTAACAAACAACACATTAGATCCCAGCTGGAGCTGGTGTTGAAGGCTGTGTCTGGTTCTAGGCGATCCAATCTCTTGGCGGCAGACCAACCCAAACTTTAACTCACAACCAAGATCGTTGGATATTCCGGATCACCTTGTGGAGACTGAGACTGAGACTGGAACGTACTCCATTTTGCGTGTGAAATTCAATAAGTTAAGCCGACTGCAGGCTGCTTAGCATAGGCATACATGGGTCCACGAACTGAACCCCACAAGCCGATGCATATCTCCGGCTGTATTGACTAAATTGTTTGCTGGGTGTGGCGCAAAATGCACGACAAAAGAGTGTTCATGTTGCTCCCCCTTGTATCTCCCTGTATTTCCCTGACTTTTCTGGCATTGTTTGGCATGTTGTAGTTCAATTTATGACGCTTGTAGCGCTTGACTTTTGCGCAGGCGTTGAAAGCCCCACAACAGGGCAGGCCGGCAGGCTTTTCTGACAACAGCTCGAAAATCAAATTGAGCGGCTCTGATATTTGTATTGTCGGCTCCAAACTCCACCAGTCGATGTTTTTATTTGATTTCGTGTTAATTTTCAACGAACACAATGGTACACGGTACAGAAATAATGTGGAATTTTTAATAGAAAATGTATTTGAAATAGTAAATACAGCAGTTGATATTGAAATTAAATATCAGATAAAGTTATTTACTATATGGCAACAGAGTTTTATGTTTATTGATAGTTGAACTATATTTTTGGCAATTATTTGAGAGCCTAACACTGACGGATATAGAATTGTATTAGTTTCCAGGCAAGAAACTCCCTCACTACTTGAATCTTGTCTATTTTAGTTGCACTTTAAAAGATTTTCATAGGTAAACTTATCTTAAAATGCTTCTAAAGATATAATAACAGTGTACAATTCATCACAGTCAATATGGCCCCGCCACAGTTATGTTTCTTTTTCGTGTGTTTACAATTCTATTTAGTGTCTGACATCCAGAGATTGGTCCCGGTGTCCATTCGATCTATTTGGGCATGACAAGTGTGGTACGATCGATTCCGATTTCAATTCCGAATCGATGTGTTTACACGGTCTGGGAAATTGATATGTCAAACAGTCGGGCGAAATGTCTTCTCCATTATTGTGAGGTTGCAGCAGCTCTACGCTCAATTCACACTATATGTCTAGAGTCTGGTCTATTTTATGGCCCAAATGGGGAAAGTTGTTTCTTCTTCGAATGGTATGTCTTAATTTGAGGAACTTCCTACATGGGGCCCCGGACCCATTGACCTGGTTAGCTTGCATTTATATTAGGCATTGATTTGTGTGGTTTCCCACAGTCACGCCAAGAAGACGACGGGGCTGAGTTATAGGTGCATCGATTAGATTTACGCACAACCAAGTCACTCTGCATCTAGCAGATACAGATACACAATTAAATTGTAAATAAGTTGGGGCTGATGTTACACAATTGTCCATCCATCAGTTGCAATTTGATGAAGCTTTGAGGTATTCAATTTAATTATTTTTGCCTAAGTACAGATATATTGATATTATTTGTGTATCTAACATATGCAATGGGAAATATGATAACTAAGGAAGAGATTATGTAGCTTGTAATACATTTTAGCACATATAAATTAGTTTAAAGTATATATTCATCTCTCACAACTACTGGCTTTATTTCTTAATGCACCTTCAATGCCATTTAATTCGAATTCTAACCCACATTCATGGCTAATTCGAACTGGTGTCCGTAGCTGTCAATATCCATTTCGCTTAATCGACCCACAGACCCCAATACCGCCAATCTCCAATATCAAATCCATTATCCATTGATTGTTCTCCAATCTCGAATCACACATTCGAGCAATTGCAATTGGGCCAATTTTCATTCAAGTCCGGCTCAATTGTCATAATTACGCCCACGTTGGCGAGCAGTTCTCGGCAGCGCAGATACATATCCGTATCTTTTGGATCGCTGCTGGCTAATTCTTCTCTGACAAGGCGCTAAGCAGCCGCGACAGCTCACCGATTACCTCCGACCATTATCTGTTGTTTTCCGGCGCGGCGAGCAACCTTGAAATTAAATATAATTATGAAAAGGCATTCCCATTCACAGGCCCAGCGAATGATATATTATAAAGTTAGTTTGCCACAAATGAAAAATTATTTAAGATGCCGGCTCACGCACACTTCAACAATCAGAAAAAGAAAAAAACAAAACAAATCCAAGCGCCGAATCAATAAAACCACCGTCCAGCCCCGACATCCCGGCTCTGCCCACGAGTCAACCTTTATTTATTTATTATTTTTCCTTGTACCCTCTCTTGGTCTTTGTATTTTTGCCCAGGCAATTATAATTAACTTTGCGGCAAGTTTTGATTTCTCCCCAGCTCCCCAGGTATTTTTCTTTTATATTCTTTTTATTTCGGCTCTTCGCCGTAGCCCATGGGCTGATAATTTTGTTCGCACCTGATCGCGTTACTCGGAGATCGCTGGCTGTCTTAACTGGTGAAGTACACTTGAAGAAAATAGCAGGGAAATGCTTATATTTCTATTTAAAAAAGGTTGAATTTCATGTACTAAATATTCTTTGTTTAACTACAACTACAGATGATTGAATACTATATGTAAAGAGCTTTAGAATGTCAAGAAAACTATTCTAGAAAACTATTTCCCTCAGTGTCTCAATCCCTCTTCCAGCTGCGTGTGGATCATTAACAGAGCTAAAAGGTCTTCAGACTCAGATCGAGAATCAGTTCAGCATCTGCGGTTTTGACCAACGTTGCCTCTTGGCCAGCTAAGATTCTCGAAAGCCATTTCTCAGACAATGGTAACTTTCATTTGTCTTCAGGTTTTTACTTTTCAAACCGGCAAGCCATCGAAAGTACTTCGGGCTTAGTTAATAGGCTAAGGCCTAATGGGTTAATGAGTGGCAGCCGGCTGAGAGAGTAATTGGGAAACCAGTTTCAGTTCCAGTTCCAGATATTAACAGTCGATGATCAGTAATGAGTAGCACCAGACTAAAGCGAAACTTAAAGAACCTACTCCCGGCGGACTTAACTCTCAAATCTCTGGTTTCTACCATAAAAAGCAAGGACGAAAAAGGGTTAACCTTTAAAATTTACAATGTCCTACGGTCGCTGTTTTTATGACAGGCACAAAATGAAAGAACGAGAGCTGGAAAATACACCCAAAAAGAAAAGCCGAAACAAGGAAAATAAAACACAAACCGAAACAGAAGCAGCACCCAGAGGGTTGAGCAAGAAAATGAAAATGGAAATGGAAATGGTTGGAAAATTCAAATCACAAACTCGGTATTTATTTGCGAAGCGTAAATGATTACCACTTAAAATGTGCTCGACTGCCACCTAAAAACCAATTGTTGGAAAAAGCACAACCCGTCGAGCTCTCCGTGGGCGCCAGGAAGGAGTGAAAGGACCAAAGGCAACATATGTTTTTTATGCCTGAGCTGTCTAAGTGGATACGGGCGGAACTTGGCTGCTTCTCCAGCTCCTGCGTGACAGAGACAGCGAGGAGGGAAAACTGCGGGACAGCTGCCAGAGCTTGTTAGAATCTTCCAAAAAGGACGTTTGGGGGCGGGACGGGAGACAGAGCGAACATTCCTTGGCACGGGGCAAATATGGAATTCATTAAACGATTTCTTATATATGTATTGGAATAAATTGGATTGCAAAAGCAAATACAGTGAGCAGGGCTTAAACTAAACCTGTTAAGCTGGAAAAATATGAGTTATTAATCAAGGATTGTTCTTAGTCCTTTTCTTAACTAAAAAGATACATTTTTCTTTGACCAAGAAGTATACGAAGTATTTCAAAAATTGTCAGAGTTCAGATAACCTAATTAAAGAGGTTAATAATTGTTAAGTTGATAAATAAAGTCTCTATTTAATTGTATAAATATTTAAAGGCAAGAACAAACTTTAAACCATTTCGTTGTAAAGTTAAATAGCTGTTCAGTAAATGAAAAAAATCTCTATACAACATGGTATTCATCATAATTCTCTTCTTAAATTTTCCTTTTTAAAAATACATTTTTTACCCACTTATTAACAATGTATAAAATATAAATAAATACTATAATTTTCGCTCATTTTTACCCCAATTGTCGTCATAACTTCTTGTGCACTTTAAGTCCAATCGAAAGGGAGAGTGTTTATATATGTCCCAGGCAGACAAAACAAATATGTTAATGTTGCCAAAGCCAGGACACAGCGACACGTATTGGTTTCAGTCTGGTTCTGCAATCGTTAGATCGCATATATATATATATATATGAGTGAGTTATTCCGGAAGCTTCCGGGGGGAGGATGGAGGGAACGGGCTCACTGGTGGCTACAACAAATGGGCGGCGTCGCCTTTTTCCTGCCTTTTTATGGTCGTCACGGACCGCCCGCAGGACGAAAGGGATTCCTTTGGTTCCCCTAACCATCCTTCCTGACAGTGCACGCCCTGCTCGCACATTATTTTGCCACTTCTTCAGCTGAATTTGAATTAGATTTGTGCAGCGTCTGGCGCGCGTCTTGGCAGCGTGTAAAATAATATATTTATTTTTATTTGCCACACGCACACACACACACACAGGACAGAGCGAGAGAAAGTCCAACCCCGGACAGAATACAAAAAGTGTTTTGTTTTCCTTTCAATTTGTATTTTTATTATTTTCATTTGTATTATTTTTGTGTGCTCATGAATAAAAAAGGAGTAGGAAGCGACAGCGATAGATGGCCCCAAATTGTATAGCTTAGCCCTTTTGTGTGTATATTTGCCGGGGCCCCCAAAAGAAAAAGTTAACAAATTTTCGCATGAATATTTCGCCTTTCTCGAGGGTGACCCAAAGGAACAGGACCCGTGTCCCCAGGACCCCCGTATCCCATCCTGGCCCGTCCCATGTTCGGGGCCATGTTGACATTGTTTGCTGCTGACAGCCAAGTTTTTGAGGAATTTGCTTTTAATGGACAGGCCAGACAACGCATACAGAAACGAGAACGGACGGACGGATGGACGGGCGTGAACTTGCCATTTAAATAAAGCGGCGGCAGCGGAAGTCTATTGATTTTTTTTCTGCCCTGAGACGGAGACGGAGACGGCGACTCTCTGACTCTGACACTGACTTGGCTTAAAGTCTTGGGTCTGGCTTTAATCAAAATATTTAGTTAAATGCCAGGCCACTGAATTACTTCATCAGCAGCAGCAGCAGCGGCATCAATTGGCGGACATCATCAAAGGCGAATGGCCGTTCAAATCCGGAGCATTGGCGGCAGTTCAAAGTTCTTGGAGGCGGCAACTTTCCAATTTTCACTGTGTTACCTAATTTTAATTGTCATGCCACCTGATGGCCATGATGAGGCATCAAACTACGCACCGCTCTACCTGCTGACTAGGCCCAGCTTCTGCTTCTCTTTTTGGTTTTTGGTCCATTGTTTGCCAAGCCGTCTTTTTTTCTTTCTTCCTTTCCTTATTTATTTTCTTTTGGTGACCTTTGCTGCATTGAACCCAAAGACTCCAGTTATGCTTACTTACGATTTCCTTCTGCCGCTGCGCTTTTGTGGTTAGTTCCGATAATTCCCGGAATTTAATTGCCCTTTTGCCTGTGTGAATTGTCAAGGGGATATAGTAGCTATAGCCAAAAAAAAAAAAAAAAAACAACGGAAAAGACATGGCCCACAGCGTTTTTGTTCTGGCTTTTATGGAGGTTTTACGGTCGATCAGCGAAAACAATGGTTCGGAAATTGCAAGAAATTATGGGAATACTGGTTGCAGGCTCTTTCAAGGAGCCTTTTCGGTTGCACTCACTCAGTGCTTGTGGTTGGGAGTGATTCATGCGTTTGACACGAATAAAAAGAGGAATGCCATTTTTACTGGTTTTGTATTGTGTATATTTCCAAAAGTAAACAAATTTCTTGAACAGATGTCCAAGGGATTTAAAGAATCTTGTGATCATTTGTGTAATGTTATGAACGGGGATTTCACACTCTGTTGCAGATAAGATATATATTTTTTTAAGATTTTGGGAGATGTTTGTACTCTTTGTAGTTTTCCGACAGTAAAAATAATTATTAATTCTAAAGGTATATGTATTATTCTGATAAAAACTAGCACAGAATAAAAGTTGATGAAATTTTACCTAACTTAAAATGGATTTCAAATTTAACAACTTCCCTTCTCCAAGTTAGTTTAATTTTCTTAAAAATATATATAGTTCTAGAACTCAAAAAGTACCTTTTGGTGTATATATTTACTACTATACTATACTTTATTTACCGAGTGTTGCTTTACTTACTTACCCCTATTTACTCAATAGTTGCTGACCATTTAGAAAGAGGTAGCTTTAGTGCTGGCTTAGGAGCCTTAAAATCCTTCATTTGCAACTTGTGCCTAATAGAGTTCTCCTGCGTCAGGATCGTAAATTGTCCTTAGACATTTTACTTTCACTCTTAGTGCCATCGATGTGGCACCAATGCAGGTTGCCAATGCGAGTCGTAAAAAAGACCCGAGCCAAGTTCAGTGCCTTTTTTAGTTGTTTGCACCTGGCGGGACCCACATCGACACCCGGGGGAGTTGGGTTCCTGCGTTTGGGTTGCTATTAGCAGTACATTTCATACATTTTGTAGTGCACATAAAATGGTCTCAGTTCCCTGCTCCCTTTAAGTTCGTGTGCTGTTTGTGTAAACTGTTGACAGGCTGCGGCACAGACGCCAGGGGTTAAGAGGGAGCCGAGATGGAGACGGAGAGCTAAGCAAATGAGCTGCAGTCGTAAAACAGACAATTGAGCTCATATATTCTACACGTTGGCCTGCGTTGACAGATCGTAAAAAGCCGTCAACTGGAGAACTCCCACATAAATATCAAGATCCCGACCGAGGAGGCATCGTAAAAAACGCCATCAGATACCAAAAAGAACAAAAAGAAAAAGGTCCAAATAGAACCAGAACCAGAACTCCAACGAGCATGGCAATAATGAAGAAAATACAACAACAAAAAATTGATTAATCTCATTAATAAAATGCCAACCTGCATGGTCCGTACAATCAACGGACCTCTCCTCTCTCTCATTCTTCACCCCAATAAAAAACGCAATCGTAAAATATGAAACAAAAATATTCTCTATTTGGTGCAGACCGAGTTAATGCATTTTATGGCCAAGCTTTGGGTTAATTTCCCCCACGAACAGGGGTTCAACTGTCACCGAACATAAATTTTCATAAAAAGAAAAAAATGGAAAAGCAAACTAACCGAAACTCGGGCATAATTTTCATAATGCTTTGTTTTTTTTATTTTTATGGCGCAATAGCTAATTAAAATTTCAATACTTAAAATGTTTGCTCATTACGAGAGGCCATCTTATCAGTGCCTCCCCATCATCGAAATCATCTGAGGGGCCCTATTAAAACCTAAACATTTCCTCAACTTTGAATCACAAATGAGGGCAGGTGTATTTTAGTTCAATGTAAACAAATGTCCCGTGTCGCAGCAGCATCTTTAGTCAAGATAAATAAGCGAATATAATGCATATTATGCGGAATTAGATATGTGCGTAGATAACTAAACGGACAAAACTGCTTCGTTTGCCGATCAAGGTGAAGCGATTTAATTAATTGCAGTTCGAGTCATTCCATAAGCCAAATCAGTCCAAATAGTTTTGATATTATGCGGGCCTCCAAGATATAAATGCTGATACATAGGAAATTCCAAAGGCACAGTTTGGGGAAATATTGATTGTTCCACATTGTTTGAAACTATGCAGTCAAGGTCTTTAGAAAACGAAAGACATTTGATAGAAAGTGAAGGGAATCCAGGGATTGGCCAAAGGATGATTAATATGTACATTTAAATCAATTTATTAAAGATTTATTAGATAGAGTAATCATTTAGAGATGTTTATAAGAGTTTATAAACTTCAAATTAATGGAAAATATGGATATCTTTAAGGGGATTCCTATTAAAATACAATACACAAACATTCTTTTAAGATGTTTCTATATAAAATAAGTTAATCTTCAGGCGGAAGATACTCTTCAATAATATAATACAAAATATTATACTTCAAATTAAGGCACCTGACTTCACACAAATATTAAAGCTCCTCAATTAAAGTTCCAAATTTCCCTGACAGGGAAAAGCCCAAAATCAATATTCTGACTGCACAGGAAATCAGCGATAAGAAATCATCATCAAAGTTCCTTGGATCGTAAAAAAAACCTTTAGTCGTTTCCTGTTCCTCCTTCCTTCACCCAAAAATAGAAATAAAATCCCATTTTAACTGCGCTCATATTTAGTATTTAAACTTTTAATGCCCAGCCCGGCCGAATCGTTTTCATTAGCTTAGTTAACCTCTATTATTAGTCCCACAAAACCAATGACCCAAACTGCCGCTGATGTAAGCACATCTTGACCACAAACAGCGAATGTATCT